CCTAGCGAAACTAAACGAGACCATAGGAAAATAAACAGGACCTTACCAAAACGAACCGAGACCTTCGGACAACTAAACAGGACCCTACCAAAACTAAACGAGACCCTAGGAAATTTGAACAGGACCCTGCCAAAACTAACCGAGACCCTAGGACAACTGAACAGGACCCTACCAAAACTAAGCGAGACCATAGGAAAACTAAACAGGACCCTACCAAAACGAAACGAGACCATGGGAAAACTAAACAGGACCCTAGCAAAACTAAACGAGACCCTAGGAAAACGAAACAGGACCCTGGCAAAACTAAACCAGACCCTAGGAAAACTAAACATGACCTTCGCAAGACTAAACGAGACCCTAGAACAACTAAACAAGACCCTGGGCAACTTAAACAAGACCCTGGGAACAATAAACATGACCCTAGCAAAACTAAGCGACACCGTCGGAAAATTAAACATGACCCTACCACAACTAAACGAGACCCTTCGAGAAAAAAAAAAAAAAAAAAAAAAAAAAAAAAAAAAAAAAAAAAAAAAAAAAAAAAAAAAAAAAAAAAAAAAAAAAAAAAAAAAAAAAAAAAAACCCTTACCAAAACTAATCGAGACCATCGGAACAGTAAACAGGACCCTACCAAAACTAAACGAGGCCCTGGGAAAACCAAACAGGACCCTAGCAACACCAAGCGAGACCCCAGGAAAACTAAACAGGACCCTACCAAAACTGAACAAGACCGTAAGAAAACTAAACATGACCCGAGGAAAACGAAACGAGACCCTAGGGAAAGTAGGCGTTCGTTGGTGTGCGTTTTCAGCTTCTCGTGCGCCTCCCTGATGGCTTTGATCATCATCATCGTCAGCTGTGTCGGCTCTCAGCTGTGTCGGCTCTCATCAACCTCTCCCCGAAGCACCATGGGCAAGAGGGCAGCTGACTTGGCGACCACGTCGCCTGCGAAGAAGGCGGCGGCGGCCTCACCAGCCGCTGCGGCCTCTCCAGCCGCTGCCTCTGGCGCGTCACCAGCCGCAGCCGCTGCGGCCTCTCCAGCCGCTGCCTCTGGTGCGTCACCAGCCGCTGCGGCCTCACCAGCCGCTGCCTCTGGCGCGTCGCCCGCCGCTGGCTCTGGCGCGCCGCCAGCCGTCGCCTTTGGCGCGCCGCCTGCCCCGCTGTGCATCAATCAGCTCCTCGAGATGGAGAGCGCGTCGACGCAGCAATGTGCTGTCAAGGATTGGGTGCGCCAAGTGAAGGGTTACGTCGACCAGGCTTTGGTCATCTTCCTGGAGCTTCGCAAGCGCGAGGTGTCCTTCGCGGTGTCCGCCAAGTGTTCTTTGATTGCGCCGTTGGCCATCACTGATGCTGCCTCTGGCGCTAACCTCGCTTCGTTTCGCGAGGTCATGGACTTCGACAACCTGGTTGCGAGCTTCTCCCGCGCCAAGGAGTACGAGGCAGCGGGGGCGGTGTGGATGTTGGACCCGGTTTGCGCGGACATCGACGACGTCGCCGTAAGTCAGCTCGAGGGTGCCATGAACATGTGGTCGGAGGAGACGTTCCTCCTCTCCTCCAAGCACGCGCCCTCGCGGCGCCTGACCTTCGACGTGCCTCTCCCCGCCTTGGTGGTCGACGCTCATGTCGCCCAGCGCCTTGAGCCTGGCAAGCCTGGAGCTTGCTTGACAGAGCCTCTGGCCATGATCGCGGGCCGCGCGGTGGTGATCACGTGGTATTCTGCCATGAGCGAGGCGCTCAAGGAGTCCAACGAGGACCGCGTGTGGCATCTGTTCAATGCCGCGTTGTCCGTCCCCATCAGGATGCGCGTGCTGCCCGATGCGGACGCGACCCACTTGGCGGCCCTGAGTTTCGGGGAGAAGATGTTCACTGCGAGTGCTGCCTCTGGCGCAGATAGCTTCTGGCGGTTCGCAGAAAAAGCGTGCCGCTTGACAAACGTGCGCGCCAGTCTCGACAGAGCGGAAGCAGTGACGAGGCTAGAGGTTGCGCTGAAGGCCTACGGCCTCCAGTGCAAAGGGAAACCGTGCACCAGCGCAACTGCCGCGGCGCTGAAAGGTTTGCGCACTTTCGTCCTCGACAGCGCCTGCTCTTCGGCTTTCTCGCTGGCCGAAGCATATATCCCAGAGCTTCGCGAACCTGCGCTTCTCATGAAGATCGGCTTCGCATGCTCCAAAAGGGCTGTCTCTGACGACAAGGCCAGGGAATTGTTCGTTTTCGTCCAGGACACTTTCCGCGTGGCTCGCCTGGCGGGCGACGCCCCGAAGGGCGAGAAACTGGCCGTGAGCCGGGTCCGCGGGCGCGATTGTAAATCGCCAGGGATGGTCCACGCGCTCTTCAAGAAAAAGGAGCTCGTCGAGTACATTTTCCACGAGGCCTCTCTCATGCACAAGGAACATGGGCGCGAAATGGCCGCATTTAAAACACCCCTCCGCGTCCTCCAGCGGTTCGCTGCCTCAGGAGGCGGAGGCCGAGGCACTGGCGGAGGGGGGGCAGGGAGGAGGACGATCAGGCCTTTCGAAGCAGGCGGCTGCCCCTCCTGACCGACATCGAGCCCAGAAGGCCTCCCCTCTCTGGATCCCCAGGCCACCACTTGGGGCACTCATGTGTCCTCCTCCATTTCATCCGTCTCTTCCCTCTTCCTCCCTCGCGCAAGAAATAGGATTACCCCAGTGCGACCCTACCTAGAAGTTGGAGCCCCTAGGAAAGCAGCATTAGTTGCTATGCTATGCTATGCCATGCTATGTTAAGCTATGTTATGCTATGATATGATATGCTATGCGATGCTATTATATGCTATGCTATGCTGCGCTTTGCTATGTTATGATTTGCTATGCTATGATACGCTGAGCTAAGCTGCGCTATGCTATGCTATGCTATGCTATGATATGATAGGCTGTGCGGTGCTATGCGTCGCTATGCTGCGCTATGCTATGATATGTTATGATATGCTATGCGTGGCTGTGTTATGATATGCGATGCTATCAATGCAGCGCTGCGCTATGCTAAGCTATGCTAAGCTAAGCTAAGCTAAACTGAGATAAGCTACGTTAAGCTAAGCTAACCCTCTAGGCAGAGCCTAGGTAGGGAATTACCCCCATGCTAACGGTATGCTGCGCTATGCTATGCTACGCTATGCTATGTTATGCTGTGCTCTGCTATGCTAAAGTTCAGCGAAGCTAAGATGAAGGTAAGCTAAGCTAAGATAAACCTGAGCTAAGATGAAGCTAAGCTAAGCTAAGATGATATCAGCGAAACTAAGATGAGATAAGCAACGCGAAGCTAAAGGGACGTAACTGGGGGAACCGCGGGGCGGATACTGGGGGAACCGCCAGGGGCGCTTTCCACTGCCCGGTCCCTTTAAGCCCAGAGAGTAAGAACCCTTCTAGGCAGAGCCTAGGTAGGGAAAATACAATACTTCGCATCCAGGGAGCCAGGGAGCCTCTGAGGGCTTCTCTTGAGGCCACGTGGGCCGCTCTTGGAAGCTTCTGTGGTGTTGTTTTAGCATGTTGTGAGCTGCCGTGGACGCTTTCGAGCTGCCTTGGGCTCATCGTGGGGATCTCCTGGAGGTACCAATTTCTTCCTCCGCCTCCTCTTCCTCCACCTTCAGCGGTGTTTGGGCGGGCTTGGAACCTCTTCGACGCATGCTGGAGGGTCGCTTTCCGCCTCCCCCTCCGCCGTCTCAAACAGCCTTCGGGCCGTCTTGGTCGGAACCTGTCGGAGGCATGCTGTGGGGTCCGTCTTGGGTGCCCTGAGATGATTTTCTGGAGCCGTCTGGAAGGCCCCCTGGCCTGTCTTGGGGGGTGTCTTGATGCAATGTTCGGGCCGTCTTGGGGGCATCTTGTGCGGTCACGGGTCCTCTTGGGCCATCTCGCCATCTCGGATTCATCTGGCCCGTCTTAGTCGCATCCCGTGGCGGCAGAAAACCGCACAGGACCCTTCCCCCCACCGTGTCGGGGCTGTGGGGCCAGAAGCCTCTTAGACGTCTCGGGAGGCCTCTCGGAGGCCTCTTGGACACATGTTTGGGGCCTCTTGGAACCTCATGGGAGCCTCTTGGGGGGGTGTTGGGGGCCTCTGGGGGTCTCTTGGGGTCGCCCCTTGGGGACATGCTGGGGTTCTCGGTGACAATCTTTGGGGGAAGGATCCCAAGGCCCCCCGTGTTCCTCAACTTGGGCCCTCCTTGGGGTTCTCGTAGAACCTCTTGGGTCCTTGGGGGGTCTCATGAGACGTCTTGGGGCCCTCTTGGGCCGGCTTGGGGGCCTCTTGGGCTGTCTTGGGACGATCTTGGGAACCTCTTTGGCCGTCTTAGACGGTCGGAAGCAAGAAAAATAGAGAACGCTGAAACCGTCAGAAAGTCTACGTACAACTGACACATTATGCCTCTTTGGGCCTTGTTGGGCCGTCTTGCATCGTCTTGGGCCCATATCGGGACCCTCTTGGGCCGTCTTGGGACCCTCTTGCAACGTGTTTGGTGCGCTGGGAGCCGTATGGGGCAACCTGGGAAGACCCCAGGGACAGGAAGCGACAATTACGGGCTGGGTTTCTGGTAAATGGGAGATGTGCCCCGTATCCGCCTGGCTCTGCCTTCCCCTTCTCCCTCCCCACCTCCCCCTCATCTTAATCTCTCCGTTGGCTCCACCGCCCTTCTCTTGCTGATGATGCATGTTAGTGTTCCTCAGGTTCCGCTGCTGAGGAGCGTCACAGCGACTGCACCATATATTGCCAGCGCCGAGGGGACCAATCCAGGGGCAAAGCAATGCCTTCTGAACGAAAACATGTGAGCAATTCTCGGCGGAAGGGCCTCGACATGAAACCCCGTGGGGCGAAGCGCCACTCCGGTGACCACTTCGTCTCGTACGGAGGAAGCGAAGATGAAGCTCGTGGAAGTGTCATGCATTGGGCGCTCCACACCACCCGAATTCCATGTCGTGCGCGAGCGCGTGCTCTACACGCGTCCAAGGATGCGTCAGAATTCGGCCTACGCGTGGGTCGGTATGGAGCTACTTCTACAGGCCGTGCCTTCCACTGTAGCCACTCGGCTTGGGACTCTCCCACCCCTGAAGCGTCCCAGCTGCTGGCTGGAATATTTGAACCGTTAGGGGGTACCCTGGCGCGTCGTCGGCCGAGTGCTTCTCCGAGCAGTCGCCCCCGGGGCAAGCTGACAAGCTGCAGAGCAGGGGGATCTCTGCGAACAGCTCCAGGAAGTCCCCAGGCCGGACAGGGCTCGCTTTCATGAAATACTGCTTCGTGTCTTTCGTAAATCCGGTGCACATGAAGACGTTCAGCACGTCGTGCACATGGGACTCCGCATCAGGAACACCCCTTTCGACCAGTGTTCGAGTCAAGTTTGAGTGACAACAAAAATTGTAGTTCTTCCCTAGCAGCACGTGGTTCGTGTATGGGTCACATCGGCTTCCAATAACATCATGAATGCCACCTCCATCTTCGTCCCAGCCGTACCAACCCAAAGTGTCATGCGTGATCGTTGCCATGGGACGCATCCATGGGAAAGTACTCCAAAGGCGGTCCCCAGTGGTCAAGTGGGTTGCGTGCAGCTGGCGCGTCTTAGAGGTGTAGAATCGTTCCTTCATGTCATCCCTGTTCCAGAGGTTGAGGTCCCCCACCTGCGGGCCCTCTGTGCTCACGATGCGGAAGAAGTGCCCAGCCGGCACTTCGAAACATCGCGCCTGCCTGGCAGGCACCACCAGCTCTTTCAGCTGCTGCATGCCTAGAAGCTTCTCACATGGGGTCCGAGCAAACGAGGTCGGAGGAACGCGCCACATCGCCTATGCATCTGCGATGCGGAGCCCTATGTTCGCCACGCCGACGGTGGCGACGCATCGCCGACGCATCGCCGATGCATCCCTACCTACTCGGAGCCTATCTGGGAGGCCCAGAATGCCTGCGCGGGCGGCAGCGTACATCGCCTCGTCCACCTTCGGAAGCATGCCCACCTCGTAACACACCACCGGTTTCGCAGCCCTCCGCGACGCTGCATCGGCAGGCTCACGCGCGGCCCGCTCCAGCGCGCTCGCCGGCTGCGCCCCCGCCGCTCCGCCGCCCGCCACTGGGCTGCGCGACCGCTCCCGGGCGCCAGGCATGCCGAGGGCGCGGGCCCGACCGCACCGTAGCGGCGAGCGCACGGTTCCCAGTTCGGCGGTTGCTCAAAGGTGCCACTGGCCCAAGGGGCCCCATCTTCTTGCTCATCTTGACCTCGTGAGGGGTGCTCTGGAGGCCTTGGCGGCCTCCTTGGAAATCCTGGGGGCACCTTGGGCCAGGGGCACTTTTCGCAGCACCCGACCAGTCGTCCAGCGCCGTTGGACTAAAACGGCTACGGAGGGCTGCCAGATGCTACGCCGAGCTGCCAGGGACAGCTGGCGTTGTGCGCATGCCCAGGTTGCCCATGGAGTCCTGCCGAGTGAGTGGCGCGGGCAGCCCCTGCAAGGTCTACGACGAGGGCGCGTTGCTCGCCTCGCCGGCACCAGCGTGAGCTGGCGTGCGAACTGGCGTGCGAACTGGGCTCGGCGGACCGCCGAGGTAGCTCCTCCTCCTCCTCCTCCGCCTCCTCTGCATGAGCCGCTGCGTCCCTGGAGGGTCCGATCGGGCGAGAAAAAGAAGACGCTCGTTGGACAATGTCGGTGACTTCGGGGGTCGTACAGGAAATCATGTGGGGCCAACCAGGTACATCGTTTGCCGCTCTGCTCGCCTGTACCAATGCGTTATTGTGACTTCCTGACCGTTCTGCGTTACCCGTCCACACGCTCTCTGGCTTGATGTCGATATTATGTCCATTCGCGCCGTCTGTTGGTCATGAACGTCTACGCGTGCAATTCATACGAAAACTCTCGTTTGGTTGGCTTACTCTCGGGGACCTACCGTTGGAGCGTGCTATTCCAGGCCTACTGCAGACGGTGCAGGCGTGGCGTCCAGTGCTGGCAACCCACTCCTTGGGGGCCCACTGCGTGGGCCTGCCAGCGGGAGCCCATCAAGATCGAGGGGGGGGGGAACGAGGGCAGAGAATGACACATTATTCCAGCACTCAGCGCCCCAAAGCCGCTCCCTCATACATTGCATACGGGGAAGCACTGCACGATTGTGGTCATCAACGACGCGCGTGCCCAGGGGGAGGGCTGGCCGTAATGCTTATTGAGCCAATCGCCCAAGTCAGCGCCAGTCGGGACCTTGGGAGGAGGGGGGGCGGGCTCGCGCCGATCGGTGGAAGATTCAAAAACATACCACGTACATAGCGGCTTTCTTCCGCGTGAGTTGTTTCGGACGAGTTCTTCCGTACAAATTCTTCTGGATGAAACTTTCTCTGGATGAAGGTGCCGCGGATGGAACTGCACTGGGTGGAATGGAGCAGTCGCCATCCCCTTTTACTCGGGGTGTGTTCCTAGCGGTGTACTATCTGGTGCCCGCGATTGGGGACTTAATTCTTCCCGCCTACCAAGCGGATGCACCACTCGGGGCCGACCATGGGTGAGGGGACGAGGTGGAAAGCGGCGGGGAAGGATCCTGCTTTTCTCAAGAGGCGTCCGGCGCCCCAGAGCCGCGCCCTTGCATCAGCAGGCCACCCCAAACGGCAGCGCGCAGTTCTGGACGTCAGCGACGCGCATGTCCACAGAAGGCCCCGGGGCCCTGTGGCGCACTAGATTGGTCAATGGCGGAGAAGGGGGGGACGGCGGGGCTTGCAACGATCTGCGAACAACTTATACGTCGTTACGTCTACACATACATGTGAACGTACACGTGTATCCGCCGACCCCCGCGTGCCGGGGGTGCCAAGGCGCGCGAGATGATTGGCTGTCCCCCGTCCCCCTTTCCCCCTCCACCAGGGGGTCTGCAATCCAATTAGAAGGGGGAGGCCTGGGGCGGGGGTGGCCGGGGGGGAAGGGCCCCCCGGGCTCCCCAACGCACCCCTGGGGCTTCCAGAGCCTTCAAATCGACACTTCGTGGCCTGCAAGATATACAATATGCCCTCCAAGCTGGCTCAAGCTGTGCTCCAACACGCCGAGGAGGCATCAAAAACACCCAAGAGGGCCTCAAAACTGCCCAAGAGCCTCCCAGACGACCCCCTTAGATGGCCCCAGTTCGCTGGCCCAACGGGCCAAGGGCGTGCTAAGATCTCCGGTAAATGGTTAACAATTAACTAGTTCGCGCGCGCGGGGCCGCCCCTGGGGGTCCCCGGACGAAAAGTACCCTGGGACACCCCCGGGACACCCCCGGGACACCCCCGGGACACTTGGATCAGAGATGCCAGACCGGGCAATTTTTCGACACCCCTCACGAAGATCGTGGCCTCCGAGGGGAGGGGCGCAGTCGACTACCCCCCCTCCTGACCCAAGAGGTCCCCAAGACTGCCCACGAGGCCCCCGAGACGCCCAAAGAGCGCTCGAAGACGCCGATGATGACCCCAAGACGGCCCAAGAGGTCTCCAAGTGGCCTCCAAGAGGCCTCACAAGAGGGCCCGCAAGGCCCAAATCATCAATTTCACGTTGGCTTTCGAAGGATTTTGGCCTTGTCGCCTTTTCGGCCATCCAATGCTCCAAGACGTCCCCAGAGGACCCCAAGAGCGCCCCAAGACGGGCCAAGAGGCTTCCAAGAAGGCCCCAAGAGAGCCCAAGAGGGCCCCGAGACGGCCCAAGAGGCGCCCAAGACGGCCCAAGACGGCTCCAAGACGGCCCCGAGAGGGGCCCAAGAGGGGGACCACGAACCGAAAACTCAAGCCTTCCGCCCCAAGAGGGCCCCAGGAGGCCCCAAGATGCCGCCAGGAGGCCCACAGGAGGCCCCAGGAGGCCCCCAGGAGGCCCAGAAGAGGCCCCAAGAGGCCCCAGAAGCTCAAGAATGCCTCCTTGGCGCCCCCGAACGGCTTCTCAAAAGACCCCAAGAGGCCTTCCAAAGAAGCATCTTGACGACGACCCTATTTGTCCCCAAGAGCAACACAATATGCCAACGAAAGGTTTCCTCCTCCGCCCCTTCCCCTTCCTCCTCCTCTTCCTCCTCCTCCTCCTACTTAAGGCGGCCCGAGGCCGCCCAGCAACGCACCAGCCGCCTATCGACACAAGCAACACATCACACGAGCAGTGGGCCCGATGTTCCCTTCTCGTGAATAGAGCCGCACGGCGGCGGCGCTGCCCCGCGAATCTCATGGGCGGAGAAAGTGGATTGTTGAGAGCAGTATGCTACAACCCGTGTGCTGCCAGGACGACGGAGCGGCTGAATGACATTGTGCAGGCACTGCCGAACAGAGACATCTACGCGCTCGTGGGCACACAAGCAAAGTCGTATGGAGAGCAGATCAATGAGACTCGTCTGATCGACCGCACCTGGGTGATAGAGTTCGGGCATAGGCGAAGTGCATATGTCACAGCATATTGTGGTATCACGTTTCTTATCAAGAGCTCAAGATTTCCAAGATCCACATTAAAGCTGATATATCCTACACCAGCGTTGTTGTGGGGACGGTGTGCTGCTGCCAGCTTTCAGACAAGATCTGAAACTATTGGAACTATCGCGCTGTATTTTCCCCCTCGGCAGACATCGGCAAAGCTGCGCAAGACCTACGAGGAGGCCTGCCAGAAGACGGTGCAGTGGTTTCAAACAACGTTGGAAGAGATGTCACGCAAACGGATCATCCCCCTTGTATTTATAGACTTGAACGGGGGGCTCCCCTCGTCAAAATACGACAGAGTAGCTGGACCATGTGGGTATGGCAAGGAAGGCTACTCGTCTTTGCAGCTACGTCCGCTTCTGGATGGATGGGGCCTGACTGCAGCTAACACTCATTATGTGAACCCCCTGCCAATCAAGATCTCCAATTTGCGCGAGATCGAGTATTGCGTGGAGCTTTTCTTTTGGAGGACGAGTCAGGCACATTTTGGCTGCGACCGTCCGAGGGAGTCATCCCTGGTGATGTTGGGGCCACTCGGATCTTTGCGAGAACGTTCAGCCCACCAGTTCAGATTGCGGTGGCTGATCTCTTTGTGATTGAAAAATGGTTTCACGCAGTCGAGGTAGGACCGCCTTGGGAAGGCAGTCTCACCCAACAAATGGCACGAACTGGGTTTGTAGATGATCTGTCATGTAAAGTACTTGAAGCACATTATCCAGGCACGATAATTGACAAGTTGGAGCTAGGCAGGTCGTCTTGAGAATTTAGCGATCGACAAGGGAATGGGGGAGGTTGGCGCTTCACAAAACACTAACACGCAGGAAAACGTAGCATATCTTCGAGGAACAGGAGCGCATATAGCAGCACGTCTTGTACACAAACATGGCACTACAATAGCTGGGCGGACTAAACACCATGCACGATACCTTGGAGGATTACAGGCTAGCAACTTTACACCTAAACCCGAATTGGAAGAAGAAAAACAACACAAAAGAGAAAAAAAAAAAAAAAAAAAAAAAAAAAAAAAAAAAAAAAAAAAAAAAAAAAAATGACTCTTCAAGCTAGTTACTTCTCAATGGGAAGATTTTGGAGGCCTCCTGGAAACTTTGGGGTAAAGCGTTCCATTGTAAAAGGGCTACTGGTGAACACAACGCTCAGCGGGCTCGAGGTGTGCGTCAAAGGACATATACCTCTCACGAGTGGAGACTTGGCTCCGCTTGAAGGTTTCATTGTGCGCAAATGTCGCGCAAGCCTTGGCGGCACAGCGGCCTGGGATGAGGATAAGCAGCACGTCAGTACAATAAGCTGACTTGAGGTGCTAAAAAAGTTCCGACTCGCTCCCCTGTTCACAGAACTTCGCACCCGCAGATTGAAGTGGTTGCAAACCATGGTGCAGGGTCGTGATCAACAGATTCAGTTCTTGACCACCTGCGTTAGAAGGTCTGCTCTCAACGGTGATGTTTTTTTTTTTTCGGAGGAGGGGACGGTGCGGCCCCTTGCACATCCGTGGGCCGTCCAGTTTCAAGATGATTTGGAGGCACTGAAGGAGTTGGAGGCGGGGGAGACTATGTGGGACATCGGAGGGAGCATGAAGCACATCATGTTTGAGGACTACGAGGATTTCATAAAGGTTGATTGCGATGAACTACGAGCAAAGTTTATAACTACGCCTATTACGAGCACACGCAAGCAAACACATCATGAGGGCAAGTTCATATGAAAAGAAACCCTGACATATGGGACCATATGTAACACGGCATGG